GGGACAGAAGCTTCAAATAATGTTCTTCCTCTCTCAACTTTACAAAACATAGTTCGGAAGGAAAAATAAATTAATGTTCATTTTAATTTCACTTCTAGAACACAAATGATTATTTCAATGGAGACATGAGAGCAAGACATCTTTAAGACATTGCCTACCTTTCCTTATCAAAACTATTTAATGTTTTGAACATGTACATATACATATATACATATTCATGAATGAATGACGGATAGATGATAGAGTGCCACTGTGAATAGTTTAAGGAATTTTAAAGTGACCTTCAGGAAAGTTTGAAGAACTTTTAAGAGTGGGAAGAAGGAATTATCTGCTAGAGAGACTTGAAAAAGAGATTATTCAATCAAAAAAATGGAACAAGTGTGAAAAAGAAATTCTAAAGAATCCTGCCTTTATTTTGTTTAGTATAAGATCAATCAAAAACTTTCTTCAAAAGTATTCTTCAACAATAACATAGTGTTCCTGGAATCTCCTGACCTATAGGAGGTCTGACAGATAGTTAAAACAAGCAGAAGTTAAGGTACCAGATTAGAAATTGAGGGACCATAAATTCTACTTGACATACAATGCCAGCTGGGTGACCTTGGCCAGTCATCCTCTCATAGCCCTTGAAAGAAGGCAATCACAAACCACTTTTGAAATCTTGGCCAGAAAATTGAAGGGACTTGTCCAGGCAGTCATAAGGAATCAGCCTTGGCTCAAAAGCACAGAAGAATCCCCCCACACACACATTGAAAACACACAACACAGACTTTCTTATTCAATGATTTTATCAGAGATATGCTATGTATAAACCAAAGGCCGATTCTTAATACTTGAGTATAACTCTTAGCATGGTCATTTGTCATGGCCAATGGAGAAAATTAACAAGAGTTGTAATTCAGCCATAATCAGAAGGGATATTTTTCCGCTCTGACACATGTGAAGCTATTTCCACTATATACAAGACACTGTATTAGAGAATCATGATTGAATTGCACCCTTAAAAAGATCCTATGACTAAGAACCTAAAAAAGATACAACATGATTTTAACAGGAATGAAGCCCTAGACACATGTGCCCTTCAAGTATACTGTCTACCTGTCTCCAGGAACTGTCATTTTAGTTTTTAATAAGAATGTCTATGTTCATTAAAGTTACTGGACTGACTGCCTTCAAGACAGGCATTCACAAATTATTGGACCAGCAGATATTTTGGGGTAGAAGTGTCATTCTTCCTCAGCCATTGGTAAAGATTCTGCCAAGGATGTCATAATGAAACCTAGTTTATAATCAATGCTTGCTCGCTATGTTCCGAATGGGACCCTTATAATCAAGCATCAAATCCCGGAAAATATGGGTGAGGGAGCATACATTGTTCTGCTGTTAGAATTCAGTTTAAAATCTCCACATTAAAATTGCAGAGGAGTGACAGGGGTGCTATTTTACAAATGGAAGCTGGCTTCCTTTACTTTCCCTCAAGAATTTTTTCTCTATAGCATTTAAGTAAATTTATTTATGTCCTAAGCCAGGGGTGTCAAACTCACGTCGTCATGGCAGTGTCACATGACATATCATGACTACCCCTCCTTCACTAAACCAGGCATGGGCGTGGCCTGTGCGTGACTCTTCCGGCCTGTAGGCCGGGAGTTTCACAACCCTTGGTCCTAAGCCTTTTGCACCCTCTCTCACTGTAAAAAGCACATGGTACCATTCTCTAATTCCATCAAATTCTATACCACTTTGACAACAGGCAGATGTGTGGGTCATTTTCTTTCTCCAACAGCTAAACTGTAACCCAAGTTATAAACTTGTAGCCTGCCAATGGCTAGCGGAGCTGGCAGTAGATTTGGACAGTGAGGAGGTTGGGGAGGAACATAGGCCAGTCCTGGAGTCTGGGAAGGCTCTGATGAAGGCTCTGCATTGGAGGCAGAGATGGGGCCAGGACTGTCCGACAGTTATCAGCTGCCTTCAGAGTCAGACATTAGTAAGGCAGACGAACAGCTGGAGCCTGTTCCCAGTGTGCAAATGTGCAGAGTTGCAAGACAAAGGGAACAGCTAAAGAAAAGAGGTTGACTTCGGAGTCAGGCCTCAGGTGGATGATGAATGGCCCTTCCAAGAGGAAATAAAAGAGGAGCAAAAGGGGAGTGGGCAGCTCTCCAAGCCAGATAAGGTTCAAGATTCAAGGTTTATTTCACTTGTATGCCACCCTATTCCCGAAGGGACTCAGGGCGGCTAACAAACCAAGGGGAAGGAATAATACAAACAAAAAGCAAAGGACAAGCGAACAAAATACAGAGACAATTTAAAAGCAGTCAACAGCCACACAATTCGAGCGGGGATGGGAACTTATCAGCCCCAGGCCTGTCGGAACAGCCAGGTTTTAACGGCTTTGCAGAAAGCCTGAAGGGTGGTGAGGGTCCGGATCTCTGCGGGGAGCTCGTTCCAGAGGGCTGGAGCAGCCACAGAGAAGGCCCTCCTCCGGGTGGTCGACAAACGGCATTGGCCAGCGGATGGAATTCGGAGGAGGCCTAGTCTGTGGGATCTAATAGGTCTTTGAGAGGTAATTGGCAGCAAGCGGTCTCTCAAGTACCCAGGTCCAATACCATGAAGGGCTTTATAAGTGACGACTAGCACCTTGAAGCATATCCGGAGACCGATAGACAGCCAGTGCAGCTTACGGAGGATAGGTGTAACGTGGGTGTACCAGGGCGCACCCACAATCGCTCACGCGGCTGCATTCTGGACAAGCTGAAGTCTCCGAATGCTCTTCAGGGGCTGCCCCATGTACAGTGCATTGCAGTAGACCAGTCTTGAGGTCACAAGGGCATGAGTGACTGTTGCGAGTGCCTCCCGGTTCAGATAGGGACGCAATTGGTGCACCAAGCGAATCTGGGCAAATGCCCC